TACTCTACTCTACTCTACTCTACTCTACTCTACTCTACTCTACTCTATTCCTTATTCTATCCTACTCTATTCTATTCCAATGCAGATTTATTACAACTGTTATTCAGACTATTTCTGGGTTTTATGGAAGACAGAAGCAGAATTGTTAAGATTGTAATGATCTGAATATTTTATTTTACAATAATAAGCCTGCAGTGCAGTGTTTGTTATTCATGGCAGTTTGAAGATGTGTGGACTTCAACTCCCAGAATTCCCCAGCCAGCATACTGAAGTCTACACATCTCCAAGATGCCAAGATTGAAAAACATTGGTATAAATATATAGTTGTAAACTGCCTAAAGACATTCAAGTAGATGACCTACAGATAATTATAGTAAATAAATTGATGGTGATAAATAAATAAAGACTGGCTCCAGTGTGTAAAGAAAATAAGCAATGCTTGCATGTGTGCCTGTACATAAGCACACACATGCTCAGAAACTATTCTGAGATGGTAGGAACATTCCTAATTGAACTTTATACAGACGTTCAGTAAAAGTTGTTTAATATCATTTTAAAAATAAAATAAAATAAAATTGTGGAGCTTTATAAGCCTACATGCAGCTTTTATTTTTTAATTGCAGAGCAGGGTAGTAAATATTGTACATAAATCTTCCTCTGTAAACTTTAGAGGTGATCAGAAGTCAGATTTTGTTTACAAGTTGAGAGTAGTATTAAAAGCAATATATGCTTAGGCATTTCTTGGATAAAAATAAGGCATTACTGAAATAAAACATGTGTAAATAGCTTTCAATGAAATTACAATTAGCTAGTAAATGTTGGGATTAAGTGAGCTGCCTCTGCAAAATGGGCAATGTAGAAGTCTAATAATAAATAAATAAAAAAGATGGGAAGTTGCCAGATATAATGCAACATTTTTAACCCTTTTAATCAAACTTGCAGTCATATTCTTTTGACAGGACATTTTGTACAATAAAATATTACTCAGAGGTTATTTTTCAAATTTGTATAGACATAACCTTCACAAAACAAGTAACACCGGACAGCATACAACAATACTAAAAAAACAATCGTTCATAAATAATAATTATTATTAAAAACATTAAAAATGATAGAACACAGCTTAAAAAAGTATGTAAAAAGTATGTTAATAATAATGGAGCTGTCTTACTAGTATACCAGTTCTCTGGGCTTCTCAGGACTTGATGGCACATCCAGATCTTATGGACCTTTGGCTATTATTATGATGTATTCTGAATATAAATATAATATAGTATATAGTATATAATCATATAATATGAATGTGAATACAGAGGTAACATATAATAATTCTCCAACTTCTGCAATCTTTGTTTGACTTAATTATTTCATTCTCTTGTCTTTTGAAGGAAAATTCCTTCAGAGTGAAAAATCAACTGGATAGAGAAGCTCCAGAATTATTTCCAGAATGGTTTACAAATAAAGTACAGTTACCAAGCTCCTTAGCACTTGGATATGAGGAGAGAGCAGCTGCCGTTACTGGGGTAATCATTTACTCTCCCTGACAATCTTACTTTCAAACATTTGATAGAATGGTTTTTAAAGGTGTTTTTTTTTTGGTGCCATTTCCATAAAATAGTGGTTATGATATGGAATGATGAGGCCTGGATTAGTAAGGGATATGACTTTACAGTCACCAGTATATTTTCATTTCTTTCCTTATAAATTTGCTGTTTCTTTATTTTGAAATAGCTGGTTTATTCATTCCCAGAATATTGCTGATAGGTAATAAGAGAGCAAGCATCATTACAGAAAATGTGCAGCACTCAGACACAATTTAACTGTCCTGAATAACTCCTCTGAAAGTAAAAAACTGAATAGTTTTCTAATTCAATGTTCTCCAGCCACTTACCTGAAGAAAAGTCTGTGGATAATCCTGTCCTGAGACCATATCCTGCATTCTTCCATAAAGTTCTGCAGGATATGGACCAGTTGGTTTATTCTCCATATCGTCTTCATGTATTTTTAAGGACATCTATAAAAGGATGAGCACTGAGTGAATGTGCTTAAAGTCCTTTTTGAAAACATTGGCACAACTCTTCCATAGCAACAAATTTATCATTGCTGTGCTTTAGGAATTAATCTGCTGCTATCACCTTCTCCTCCCACTCTTCCAGCGGGGAGAAAAATGTCCCACAGCTCTTTAGTTGAAAGAAGATTGCAACTCTCCACTGCATTTTCTTTCCCAGCAGCAGGAGGGAGAGCAGGTAAACAAGTGACATATGGATTGAGAGACAACCTCATATTCTGGGTTGGTGCCTCCAATGCTGTGATTATTTCCCCTTGCTGTTGCTGAGAAAGAAAGCATCTCATAGCCATGATCGGTATTATGAGTTTATTATGACAGCATTTTGTCACCTCCATTGGCTCTTGGCTCTTTTCTGGATCTAGTTCAAAATGTTGGTTTGATTTTCATACTTCTTCATAGCTTTAGGCCATAGTACTCAATGGGTCCCTTGTCTCCACGTGTTCCTGTCTGTACTTTTGAGATCATAATGAAAACTATTCACATGGGCTTTCCTAGGATTACTAAACCGCCAGTGTGTCCGGGCAGAATATGTATGCTCCGTGTCTCTTCTATTAAATGTTGCCATTTTATGGTATCTGGAAAGTGTGCCATCTTGGTGGCTGCTGCCGCCCCTGGAACAAGCATCCTCTCAGAGATACAGATGGCATCCACTTTCCTGGTTTCTGAAAAGCCCCTGAAGGCTGGATTTGGTCCTAGGATGGCCTTCAACTGAGATTAATATGTTGTTGGGGCTGTCATGCTGAGGGGTTATATTTTGTCAATGTTTTTAACTGTTTTAGTTAGTGTTAAATTTTCTAAGCTACCCAGAGACTGCTAGAGTGATAAATTTAAACAAACAAACAAACAAACATGGGCTAAAAACTGGATAACCCACAGAGGGCAACAAAGAGATGCAGGCAACTCTTAACACCAAATTTTTGCAGTATAGATGCGTAGCTTCTATTCCCCACCAAATACCGTTCAATGCCCTCTTCTATTTTGTTATGCTTTCAGCAACAAGTTAATGTCTTATCCAGAGGAGTTACAATGTTTTTGGATAGCAAGCCCATAGTCTTTAGATAAGCAGGAACATACAATTATAATCAGGGAAACTAACGCAGAGTGACACTTTACAAATGCAAAGCTTTCATAACTGAGGCCTTCATGATTCTTCTGGCAATGGTCAATCTATATAATCTATAATACTATCCACATAAATTGATGAAATAAATTCAAGAGGTAGACAAGCAAGGTATTTATAGGATGGTTGCAGCTGGCAAGACACAGTAGAAAAATACTCAGAACTAAGATAAACAGATACAAGAACCATCAGCATTTGATTTCGCTTATATCTGCCATACTGGGTGTTTTTCCTCAGATTCAACTTGTGAAAAGCTGAACAGTCCCGTTCCTTCTATCAAATTCATGGGGATAGTGTGTTAAAGATGCTTCATTCCAGGGGTGGGATTCTCCCAGTTCGGACCGGTTTTATAGAACCGGTTGTTATGATTCTGCACAATTCGGAGAACTGACAAATCGTGCCCCTGGCCCCTCTCTGCCCACCCCTCCCCTCCCCTCCCAATCAGTCCTTATCACGCATGCGTAACATCGTGCATGCCCAACATCACTGACTGCATTCTTCCCTGCCCAGTCACTCCTTAAGGTATTTCTTTTTTTCCCCTCCCGATGATCAGCTGTTCCTGTGCTGGGATTCCCCTCTCTGTCTTTGCCCAGGAGGCTTCCCTGAAGCCCAGGAAGGCAAAAAGTGGAGGGGAGGTGCAGCAACACCCTTCCGTTTTTTTGCCTTCTTGGGCCCCAGGGAAAAAAACACCCCCCGGGAGGCTCCCTTGAGGTCCAGAAGGCCCCAAAACAGAGCATGGGGATGCTGCATGCACACCTCAGGCTCCATTTTTTTCCTTCCTGAGTGCCAAGGAAGCCTTCTGGGAGGAAAAACGCCCCCCCAGAAGGCTCCCCTGAGGCCCAGAAGGCCCCAAAATGGAACACAGGGAGTGCTGCTGCTGCAAAAAAGAAGCCACGCCCACCCAGTCACATGGCCATGTCCACCTAGCCACACCCACAGAACCAGTTGTTTAAAAATTTGAATCCTACCCCTACTTCATACCATAGGGCCAATGTAACTTGTACATGTTTCAGACATCAGTTGTATTATACTGTCTGCTGCATTCTCTTTCTCATCCAAGAAGCTTCTTTAGTGGGGAATGGAAGGATTTATACTCATTGCAGACAGCTGGTCATTTGTATTCTTTTAACAAGTCATTGAGGTCACCTGGAGGTTTACCTGTCATCAGGGTCACCTGAGTGGTGCAAATGAGTGTGGAACGTTCTTGGAACTGTTGAAACAGCTGTGATGTAGACTGGAGATAGATGATGTCATATCCCCCCCCCCCCCGTTGAGAGAGGGCTGTTCAATTATGACATAAATGGCCTCTTTGACCCCTCTTTCAAACCACTGATTTTCTCTGTCCAAAATGTGGACTTCGCTGTCTTCAAAAGAGTGGCCTTTCATCTTTTAAATGCAGATGGACTGCTGAATCTAGTCCTGATACAAACTGTCAGGGAGTGCCTGTAGTTTCAAGCGTAAGTCTTTCCCAGTCCAGTTAGAAGATGCCAGGAACTCAACCTATCAATTCTGTATGTGCAATATCCTACATTTTATTACAAAACTAGTCCAGTGCTCCCATTTCTGATGGAAAACAGCTTTCCAGACAGAGGTGCTTTCTACACAATTGCATTAACCAGTATTGCCTTACGTGACCTGAGCTCTCCTCATAGATACTTTCTCCAACTGCAGCAAAAATACGTAAAGGCAGAGGAAGACAAGCCCATAGCCCCTTTGTATGTCAAGCTGCATCACAGTATAGAGAGTAAACAGACTGAATCTGGTTAGTAGGGACCCATCTCCTCAGAATTATAAGATTACAGCCATAGAAGAAGAAAACTTTTAGGCCAATTAACTTTGTCAGAGCTTTGAGCAACCTTCTCCATCCTCATAATATTGTTCCTTAGAGAGCTGTCTGTGCAGATGTGCTTTTCTCTGACCTTTACCACCCCTTTATTCTATTATTCTTTCACTATCTTTCCATTAAGAAAGCAATTGACATTTCAGTACCTGCTGTCCCGAGAAGGTTATGATTTTTCTCTCTTTCCCCTCCTTTCTCCTCCATTCTACTTCTACTTAGCAGGAATTGAAAGGCAATTTAATGGAAGCCCACAATTTCCAAAGTTCAGCAAGCCAGTGTGCAAAGCAGCGGCGGAAATCAGAGCAAATACTGGCGGATGATTATCCCAATGAATCTCCGCAACAGCAGCAAGGCTATCAAAAGAAATTGCAAGCAACATGTGCCTGGTCAGAAATGCCTCAAACCATTTTGCCGTTAATGAACGGAAAGGTAATGGAGGCTGACCCTACTGCTTTGCCCATTATACATCCATCTCCGGAAAGCAAGGTAATAATCTCTGTTGTTGCACAACTTCATTGAAGGACTTTGTTAAGTGCTATTCTTGTCTACTGCTACCTCTTCAGCCAGGATAGCCATTAATCCATAATTCAATCAATTTCATCCTTCCTTTTTTCAGTTTCCAATAGTGGTGGGTGGGCCACTGGCCCAGGAATACTGGTTCATATGACGCTGAGTAGAATAAACTTCTTTTTAGTGTTAATTCCCTCTAAAATAAGATTTGGCTTTTGAAATAATGCTTCTTTTTTCTTAGTTTCACATGTGCATTTTCAGATCTTTATTTTGTGTGTGTGAGAGAGAGGGGGGAGAGAGAGGGAGAGAGAGAAAGAGAGACTTAAAAACCACAACTGAGAAAGAGAAACAGAAAAAAGAAAAAACGTGAAAAAAGAAACAACCAATAAGCAAATAGTAGAGAGATCTACAGCATTATCAAACCGAATGGTCAAATAAAATATCAAAATAATATAAATTTTGTTCCACATATTTATGTATCTTACCACATTTTAAAATATTTGTTCTTTATCAAAATCAAATTAATATGCAGTTATTAAGGGGATAGTCAGGTTTAATAATATTTAAAAGAAAATGGTAGGTTGGAAGGGAAATTCAACTTTTAGAATTTGTTTCATTCTATTATATTTTCCAAATTTTTGAAGTTTAACTGTTGCCACCAAAAATGGAAAAATAGTCTGATTAGATCAGTGCATTTCCAACAATTTTTTAAAGAATGCATTGTCTATTTTGGCAATTAATACTGGTGTAATGTACCATTGATGAAGTATTTATTTACTTTACTTATTCTTTAATTGTTTAGTCATAACTCAAAATCTCAACCTTGGATAGTAAACAAAAGAGTAAAAATCAAAGGAACAGGTCCAAATAGTAACTAACAAACATATTAATTTACTTTACTTTAAAACCAAATTGCTGGAAATGTTGACAACAACAAAGGTACCTTCTTTCATTCTTGGTGGTCATGCTCCAAAGCGAAAAAATATTGGAAAATAATACAAATGTGGTTAGAAGAGTTAATTGGAAGCAAAATTGATTTTGTCCCAGAATTATATCTTATAAGGATAATAAAAAGAAATTACAATAGAAAGATAAAATATCTTATGTTACACGTATTAACACTAGCAAGAATTTCCTATGCGTACCTGAAGATTTAATAATTAAAAAAATCTTCAAGTGTGCGGAAGTGGATAAATTAACCATGGAATTAAAAGGGAAAGTAGATACAGAATACTATGCAATATGGGAAACATGGTATATTTGGATTGACAATAGAAATAAGAGAAGAAAATATATATATAATGTATATAATAGACATAGATGGTATGGAAGTAGTATGTATAGAAAGTATCAGATAGGATATATAAATGTATACAAAATGTCACAGTACTCTTTATTAAGCAATGGCAATATGTATAAAGGAAAAAAACCAATAAAGCATTATTAAAAAATAATAATTTACTTGAAGTGCAATATTCACCATAAATGTAATATTTTTCTTCCATTGAAATTCCCATTATTGCACTCTTGCATTTGTCAGCAATGAGAATTTCATCAGAAAAAAACCAGTTGGTCCCTCAACATGGTGTCTTGTTTGCATTTGTCTATGTCCAGGAAGGTACAGACATTCCAGGTTCCAAAAATGAATTTTCTTTCTTTTTTCTTGATTCTTGACTGCTAAGGTGATCTGCTAAACATGGTTAACTAGCCAGATGTTGTTTTGGGGCAGGCAATGTTTAGGGTATTTTTTCTAACCCCTCCATCCTGCAAGGGTGGGCAGTAATCATCTTAGCAAGAACAATGAGTAAAGTGGAGAGGATGTGACTTAAATCAGGTGGTCTTGCTTCCAGCAAGATTTGTACTTGATACCTTTTTCTTCAATTTTTTTAAAAAATCTGGATGATTGATATAGGAGTAATTAGTTGTTCCGTAGATTGCAAAAGAATTTATGCCAAATCAATGCAATTACCTGTTTGAATTTCCCAGCAGGGTTATCTCGAAGACGAAGCAATTGCTGAGTATGCTAATCTGGAACAAAAGATCAACAAAGTGAAGATTTGGACTGCAGAGTTAGATATTGCGTTAATGAAAGATCAACTGAGAGAAATGGAGGTAAGAAAACAATATGTTCATTGGCATAGCTGTAAGCACACTGTTAGTCCCTGTTATATTCTTATTCTCCCACTCGTCTGCTCAGGCGCATGAGAGCCTCATAGCTATTTCTGGATAGTGCAATCTCATGTCATTGGATACATGAACATTTCAACAACACGAAGGGGATAATAGCATTGATTGTTCCCACCAATTGGCATCCTTCTGCCTAAAATAGCACAGGAAGAGTTTCTATGAGTGACCTCACCTACAATGGTGCTTAAAAATCTGCGCACCCATTTGAACTTTCCACATATATGCATAAATGTGACCCAAAATGTGATCTGTTCTCCATACAAATCCTAAAAGTAGAGAAAGAGAATGTGATTAAACAAATGAATTGAAAACTTGTACTTATTCCTTTGTTTTTGAGAAAAATGATCCAAGGTTACATATTTATGTGTGGCAGGAGAAATGGGAGATGTCTTTTCCTCTTATTTTTAAGAAGGGGTAGAAAATGTCATGGGCAATATGGAGGAAATGGTCATAAGCACATGCAGCTCATTATAATAATTTCCTCCCTATTGTCCATGACATTTTGCATTTTGCCCAGGTCCCTCTTCACCTTAGCAGCTTCACTAGACTTGGTGCCCTAAATGTGGATTTTGGGGAAGTATCTGACCATTTCTAGTTAGTAATATAATACGTGGTATATAGGTATTTCATCTGATCTGATCAAAAAGACATGAAAATGAAAACAATCCCTTTTTTTAAAAAAAACACAAGACAAGACCCATCCACCCCATCTGATTTTCTGTCATAGGATTTGTGTCTGCAGCTAGAAAAGAAGAAAGCCCAAGCTTTGTCAGTGTGGCCAGAACACTCAACGGTGACAGAAGAAAGTCAGCCAAACCACCATGTTACTTCTTCCAGTTGGGACGGACTCCTGCAAGAATTAATGGCTGCTAAAGAAGCCAAGCAGAATCAGTTTAATTTAGTCAATCGCTACCATGAATGTCTTGCTACTGTTCAGTCTTCAATGAAACATTTATTAGCAGAAAAAGAAAAGATATATACGTAAGTTCCTGGACCATGTTTCTAATCCGTTGGATCTGATATAATTAACTTAATTTATTGTTAATGTGTACACCATAGAGATGAACCTTTTCTTTCATTTACTTTGTAATTTGTTGCATTCCAAAAGGCTTGGGACAGACATAGAATAATATGATTTATATGCAATACTAATATCTGAACTTTCCTATTGTGGCTTAGTAAATCAACATAGGATAGGAATGAATAAGCATTGTAGTTGCAGCAATTATTGCTAAGCTATTGTTTATATATAAAATCCCTTTTTGGAATGGTTCCGATTATATTTAAATGTTAAAAGCATACATATTCATCCTTAGTAATTACATCCAATGTATGGCAGAGCTTCAGTGTAATTTTATATATATGAAATAATACCTGATTAGTGATTGCATGTTGAGTAAATTGACTTTCCAAAAAAAAGATTAAAGATAGCTATGTCTGTTTTTCTATTGCAGAAGGGGGCCTGTGGAAGACACAGTTCTTCTAGACAATTTGAACAAATTGTTGGCTTCTCTACAAAAAGAAAATAGTCTTTTAGACAAGCTGAAAACTGAACAAGAAAATCTTTCTAGACATCTGTCCACTCTGGACAGAGAATTAGTGCAAAGCCAAGTGGATCAAGCAGAGCAGTGGTGGAAACAAATGGGGGACTGTCTTCAAAAGAAGCAGTTCTGTGTTGCAGCAGAAATGGATGAGTTTAAGCTTTTCATGGACAAAGCAGAGGAGCTCCAAAGATGTTTGCAACAGCAACATGATTTGCAAACAGGCCTGAGTGCTCCTGGTACAGAAGAGCATCCATGCCCTATCTCGATTCCTTTAGAATTGCACATCCTTAAGCGAAACATTTCTTTATTAAAAAGAAATGCAGAAGTACAGATGAAAAGAATGTGGAGCAATCCAGGAAAAACAGCCTTAGACAACACAATAAATGATCTTCAGAGCCAGGTAGAAGAATTGGAGCAAATAACCCCTAAAGAGAATGTCCAAATAACTGATAGTCATCCCCAGACATATGAAATAAGGAAAGAGATAGAAGATGCCATTTTGGGGAACAAAATTTTAATGCACCATCTTGATGAGAGGGTAGCACTCTTTCCAGATGATCTCCTCTCACAAATTAAATGTTGTACGGCTGTAATCAGTGATGCTAAAGAAAAAGAGCCAACTTTTATAAGGCTAGCAGATGAAGCCCAGCATGTTGCTTCTCACATGCCATCAAAGGAGAATTCTGCACTTAGCATCCTTTCACATGAGTTGCAAACTGGTTACCAATTCCTTATTTTGAAATCGTCTCAGAAGTTACAACAGCTGGAATCTCAGCTTGGAAAAAGGGAAAAACTTTTTGCAAATATAGAGAAATTTGAAGCACAACTTCAGAAGATCATGGCAGCATCTAGCTTAGATATTGATAAAACAAATATAAAGTCTGAATTTGACCACATGCAGAATCTTTTAGAAAAGACTCCCAAGAAGGTCCAGGAGATGGAAGCCCTTGTAGATGCAATCTGCAAAGATTCATCTGAAGGATTAAATGCTTTTGAGCAACTGTTTTTAAATGATTGTTTGAAAAGTCTGAGAAGTAGAGCAAAGAGGGCCCATAGGGTAATTCAAATTAAGGGTCGTTTAGCACAACACAAAATGGGTGCCTATCAAAAATTCTCAGAAGAGATAAGGGCCTTACAGCAGGATCTAAGCAATTTTCATTTTGATGAGCTGGAACTAAGTCCAGATGAGTTACTGTCTAAGAATCAAGTCATAAAAGATAAACTGAATATGTTTAAAGAGAGAACTTTAGCCATCCAGTCACGTTTATCATACCTGGACCAATACCAGGAGTTTTGGAAATGGCTGGATCCGAAATGGGATACATCACCACTTGTTGATCTGAAAAATCAGTTCTGCAAAGCAAAGGATAACCTTGACAAGAGAGGTAAATGTCTGAAGAATTTATTTGCAGAATATGACAGGCATCAGATAGTCCTAAGTGAGATTGAAGCTATAGTATCTAGTATTCAGAAAGAATGTGGTGATTTAAAAGATCTTACCAGTTCTACTCCTGAAGCCAATCTGATATTGGGGAAAAAATTGATGTGGAGAGTTGAACATGCCAAATATATAACTCAAGAAGCATTCAAGCTATTCAAGAAAAATAAGTCATTTAGTGTCTCTCTCAAAAAGGCCAACATGCAGCAAATAAAGTCCTTAGATGCAAAAATAGATGGGCTGGAACAAATTACCTGTTCTGCGATAGTAGCTAATCAAGAAATATGCAAGTACAAACAAGGTTTCCAGAGTAAGCTGGGCCACAGTTTAAGGACTTTAAAGCAAATTCAATCTGAGTTCCAGCAGCCTGTCCTACTTGACTTGAAAATTCAAATGATTCCCTATGAAATGATGTATTGCAAAGTGCTTAAAGGTGCTATAGAGGCAGAAATTCATGCTGCTGAAGATACAATAACTAAAGAGAAATCATCTACAAAACAAAAATGCCTCCATTCTGAGAGTTTAGATAAAGAAATAGAGGAATTCCAAAATCTGAAAATACAACTGAAAGCAGACTTTGCTAAATACACAGTAAGTAGTCCTTACAGTTTTGTTTCTTTGTAAACAACTTTACAAACTTTGGTTGCTTCCATGTAAGGATTGATTATGAAATACCATGTTTTTTTATCTATATTTTACATGATATCCATGTAACAGATTTTACTTCTAGGCCTTGTAAGTTCTCCCCCACTCCCTCCCTCCCTCCTTCCCTCTCTTGATAGATTAATAATGACACAATTGCAGATCCATCTTAGCTTATACTGAAAGAAATCGAATTTTTTTAAAGACTGGTGATACTATTAAAATAAGTAGAAGGGTTTTGTAATTCAATGTAATAAAATGTCCTGGGGAGACCTTGGAATTCTCTGAGCTTGGTTGTTTTCTTGCAGATGTTTCATTACCCAACTAGGCAACATCTTCAGTGCTGTACATTGCATTGCATTGCAGTATATTGCATAATATATACAGGGCTATAAAATGTCCATTATTAAAAGCATGTATTTTTGACAGTGATTGTAGTGAATATCTCAATACTTCTCAATGCTTTTGCTCTGACATAAGTACAGTAACAAAATATTCAAATCTGTGACTGTTAATGACTTGCCATCCAAAGGACTGGCTTCTTTTCTACGACCCTGTTAGTTTATTGAGATGTTTGATGGATTTATAGAAGCTGTTATGAACAGTTCATTTGCCATTTTATCCTTGACTTTGCAATGTCCTTCTCACTACCAGTCTCCAAATATTTTGAGACACATGACCATTTTTATTTATATGATGGCTTTGAATAAATAAAAGCTTATGGATACTTCTTTGATAGTAGATATCTGTTCAGATTGATATGTATTTTTAATAAAAAAATAATTCAACTTGTTTTCTATATGAACTAAGCCAACTGTAGCAAAATTGATATTTTCTTATATTTTTCTCCTTCCCAAATTTGTTAGCCTTCCATCACTCAAATAATTTCTGCATTTATTAAATGCCAATTTAAAGTGGCAAAAAAATAAAGTGGGTTAAAAACTTTTTAAAACAATATGGAAGCTAATTAAAATATATACAAACTAAATATAAATTTAATGATAACCATGCAATTTAAAAACAAACAACAGCTGACCAGTGAAATACACAGCAGAACCTTTTTTTCAAGTTGTTTTAACTTTGGAAAATTGTTAAAAACAGCAAAAGGTGGGCCTAGGCATCTGTAGGCTCTTTGACTATCAGTTAAAACAGGGGTGTCAAATTCGCAGCCTGTAAGCTAGATGCATCATGCGCTGGCCATGCCCAGTGTTAAGCCTGGATTCCCCAACTGGTGTTAAGGAAAACAAACTAAACAGAATGTGCAGCTAAGTCAGATAGGAAGACAGGTAAATGTGTGAGATAAGCCTTCTCGTTAACACGCAGTAAAAATACAGATACGCTTGTGCTATCAAAATTATAATTTATTCCATTTAAGAATTATAGCATAGTCATATAAACAGTCCATTAGTCATATACCAAATTTCAGTCAAGTCTTGTCGAGGATGCAAAGTCCGTGTCGAATAGCCAGTGTCAGTACACATATAATAAATCTGTCCAAAACTTATCTTCTCTCCGTTGAGAAATCTTCAAAGTAATCCAACACTTCTTCTCCTCCCCGATCCAGCAAGAACGCAGTCTCCAATAAGCTAGCCAGTAATTAGGGATCAGTAAGCCAGAGAGAGCCTTGCTGCTTATATAGTACTTTTACAGCTGCACCCTTAATTACATTCCTTTAGCTTAAAGTCACATACACTTTATCTGACAAACCATGATTCATCATTTTATTATCTTTACCCAAAACAGTTAGGGTAAAACAATGTTATCCCTAACACCCACCCCCGTTTTAGTGAAGGGGAAAAAGTTGTGATACGTCATGTGATGACAATGTGTCGTTGCAAGTTTGACACCCCTGAGTAAAAATTCCACCAGCTAACAGACACGGAGTTAGATCAGGGCTGCAATGGTATGCCTTGGAACTGTAATTCAAGAAAACATTTGGGAGAAGAGAATCATTTTTCAGCTTGTATAATAACGTTGCTTTTAACTATTTATTTGTGCAGGAGGCTTTAGATGAAGCTTTTAAAATGGTGAAGTTTTACAACAAAGCTGTCGAAAAATCTGCAGATCTCCTCAGTCAGTGTGAAGCCTTTCTTTCCATTCCATTGCTTGATTTACCTAAACTAGAAGAATCTCGTCTTGACTTTGCCAAGAAACAAGAAGAATCCGAGTCTGCAAAGGCTGAAGTGGAGGCATTAACCTCTACTCTGAAAAAGTCAATTAAATCAAAAGCCAAACTTCAGATGGAGAAAACACTTGATGATCTAACTGCTAAGAATTTGATTATAAAAGAGCAGAGCCAAAAGAGAAATTCTTACATACAGAGGTAGGATGAACTTTTTCATCATTTCAGGGATTTATGAAACTGCCCTATCTGAATCACAGCACTGATCCATCTATCCCAGGGGTGTCAAACTCAATTTCATTGAAGGCTGCATCAGGGATGTGGTTGACTTTGGGGGTCCAGGTGGGCATTACTGGGTGGCTGGGTGTGGCCAACTCGACGCCACTCCCCAAACCGGGCCGAAACCACACTGGCCCAATCTTTCCTCATCGCATTGGGTAGACCAGGACGGTCCCACGGGCCAGATCCGAACTCATTGCAGGCTGCATCTGGCCTGCAAGCCTTACATTTGACACCCCTGATATTTGACACACCTAATATTGTTGGTGATTATTAGAGTGAATGATGAGAACAATTACCCCAGAGATTACCATCCTTATCTGGACATGCTAGAAATCAAACGTGACCATGTTCTGAATGGAAGATGTGTTTTGGTCCTTTGAGCTACAACCAGGGGTGGGATTCAGCCAATTCGGACTAATTTGGACATATTTGTGCTGAGCAGTGAGATGAAATAAAATTAAGAAATCTTGACTGGGCGATTAGCTTTAGAGCAAAAAGGAATTCACAGCTGGTCACAGTTTTACTATGTTGCTCACCTGCTCATGATTCAGTAAAACCCACCAGCCTAAAATAGTGGGTTTGGAAATTCTTGTGCATTCTCTTGTAAAGTACTGTTTAAAATACTATGTAAAATGATTGGGAAGATCTGTCAATTTCTCTCCTATGTACCACTTTTATTTCTACCAGTAGTTAAAAGCTGACTGCATAATTCTATTATTGGGATCAATTTAAATAATCTTATTTAAATACTCTTGCATCTGTAGGTATATGGAAAAATATCACAGTTTCAAAAACTCCAAAGAGAGGATATGTGATGAGCTTAACAATGCAGAAAAAATGCTTTGGAAGTATTTGTACTATATTCCAGTATCTTACAAAGATTCTTTAGTACATTCAGAACAAAGCAAGGTGAGGACTGTCGTCATCATCATCATCATCATCATCATCTCCATAATTTAATATTTTATGTATTTTTATAGCTTATATGTCTTCAGAACCATGTTTACAATAGAGAATTCAATGCACTTCACACTGGCTGTAACAATTACAGTAATTTATATTCTGAATAGTTATTAATGTTAGTCTTCAAAGGTTAGCTGACATCATGGTCAAAATGTGGGTAATGGATGCAAATCTGCATCTACAACACATGATTGCAAAGATTGTAAAGAAGCAGACTTTTTGGTGACTCCTTCCTTGCTGTGAAGTGTACAATTTTAGATATTATTACGGGTGCTTGAGATACTTTGGCTTGATTGTCGCAATTTGTTTTTGTACTCTGCCTCCCCCCCCCACTAGATGATTGAAACTCAATGTTTATACTTTACTCTTTATACTCTCCTTTATAGATGCTATTGTCCCAATTACTTTCAACCAAAGAGGAGCTAATGAAGTTGAGACGAGACTCACAGTCTCTAAGCTTGATGTGCAAAGAAAACGATGGAGGGTTGATTGCACCCATTGTATCAATGCTGTGGCTGAAATGGCTCTGTTTGTTCAATATCACAAAAGAATGGGAAGGCAAATGTGAAGAACAGAACCAAGAATGGAAATCTGTCAGTGAAGAAGTGAGTAATAGGGGAACACCTGACTGATGTTTTCAAGCTCAGTTGTAAAGTGGACTTGTTTGATTGTCTTAAGTACAGACAGGCTGAAGAAGATAAAACTGCCTGGTTTGTCACATGAAAATGAATAAAGGATAGAGCAGTGGTAGTACAGGTAATCCTCTCTTAACAATGTAATTGGGACTAAAGACTTCATCACTAAGCATTCCAGTTGCTGTTGTTAAATAAATATCGTGCAGTTGCAGCACTTTGCCTTCATAGGATTATCATTTGCAACCTCCTGCTGACTTCCCCATTGACTTTGCTTGTTGGACTTGGTAGTGAAAGTCTCAGGTGGGGATCACATGACCACAAGATGCCACAATGATTGTAATGAGAGTTGGTTGCAAGGGCCCAAATCACAATTCACATGACCGCAGGGATACTGTGAGGGCCACAACTAGGAGGAATAATTGTAAATCCCCTTAAGACTTATATACCGCTCCATAGTGCTTTACAGCATTCTCTGAGCCGTTTACAAATGTCAGCATACAAATTGCCCTCAACAATCTGGGTCCTCATTTTACCAAGGATGAAAACTGAGTCAACCTTGAGCCCGTCAGGATAAAACTCCTGGCTGTGGGCATAGTTAGCCTGCAATTCTACATTCTAACCAGTTCACCAACATGGCTTCTTGTTGAGCACTGTTATAAATTTAAAAGGTCATGAACGATTGATTGATGAACAAGGACTACCTATACACAAAATAATGCATGGTATGGAGAAAATATAGAGCTTAATTTCTCTTACTGGAATCTGGGGTTATCCAGTAAAGCTGAATGGTTTTAGGTTCAGTGGCTATTAGTAGATAATAGACATTGTTGTACTTTGTATTGGTGATTAAAGGTGATTTGGAATGAAGTGGCTATAACACACAAGCATTTCATTTTGCAGCTTGTAGTTGCAGCTGCCATTTTTATACTTGTATTTTAAACAAAAGTAATATAGTAAATCCCTTACCATTATATTTCTTACATAAAATGAATACATTGATAAGAGCATTACTGCAAATATTTGTAGAAAAATAAGTCCCCCTGTATTAAGAAGAATTTATTTCCAAATAAGTGTGAGTAGAAGTGCAACTTCAATCTACTTAAATGTCTTTTCCATGTATTCCCCCAAATCAATATTTCTCTTTTTTTGCTTATTTTCTCTCTAGCTGGAACGAGAAACAATTATTCTAGACAGTCTTCAAGAAGAGCTGCCTGAGAGCCTCCAAGACAAACAGCAAGCAACCAAAGAAGAACTGGAAGAACTTCTGGAATCCGCAAGCAATTATATAGAAAATTTGGATACTGAGAAATTATTGCTACGCTTAATACTTTGCCGATTAAGGTACATTTTGAGTGTCCCTGGGAGTTCGCCTGGAAAGGAAAGCCTTCCTATTGTCTGTGAAATTCAAAACATGCAGCAACGAACAGAAGAGTAAGTATAAAACAGACTTGCTGAGTGAAGTCATACAACATTTTGTACAAAGTTTAATTCTGATTTCAAAATACATTCTGATGGTTTTTTTTTTTTTTTTTTTACTAATTTGAATTCCTTAACTGCCTGAGGAATTCTGGGCATTGAAGTCCACAAAGTCTTAAAGTTGCCAAGGTTGGAGAGCCCTGATCTAGATTATCTGGCAAATGTGCATAAGTTTCAGACAGAGAGGTATTTATATATATATATAAAATAAAACAACAAGGATTTATTTCTTCACCCAAGCCTTCCCAAAATGAATGCTGGAAGAAAGTTTTGATATCTGTTTACACCCAAGTTTTAAATGCAATGTTTTATTAACTATCGTTATTTCATGTGATGCTAGTACTGATACTTTCTAGAACCTGCCACTTTGCTTTGCATTTCACTTGAATTTTATTTTTGCTTATTCCATTCGTGTTAATGAAAGGGAATTGACACAAGTCTTAGAGTTGCCGAGATTCCTGGTCTCTTATTTGAACATAACGGGTCATTCATTCACTTATGAACTCATTCATTGAATTTGTATATCTCTTGATTCCCAACAACTCTGGGCAGTTCACAAGAAAACAGAAAAACTATAAAACAATAAAAAAATAACCAAAAGGAAAAACTAGGAAGCCTGCAAACGTACAAAAATCTAAAAATGGGCTACACCCTTCCTAGTTGAAAACCTGGGGGAAGAACCAGGTGTTCAAGGCCCTCCAAAACACCAGAACACACAATCTCCTTCTTCTTCTTAATAGTATTTCTAATGGAATTTCTTCAGGCTCTGTCAAAAGGCTCAAACAGAAAAAGAGGCCACGCAATTCGAGATGGTATCCCGGACTGAGTGCAATGAAGAACTGAAAGCTATGAAGACTTCATTACAGGGCATCATATCCCAACTCTGTGGCATAGATTTGGAAACCCCTACCGAAAAGGCATTGAAACTTGAGGTTGGTAGAAAGCTGCTTCTGTAGATAGTGGACTTTAGATAAAGTACATTTGCTGGGCCATTTGTTTGCTTTAGATAAATAACATACTTTCCAATTTTTGAGTTGCAAATTGGTGTATCATTGATCTCTGGTCCTTCCAATAGTCATAATTATTAGAATTGTGTTGTCCTTTATTTCCTTCTACATTTAACTGCTTAACAAACATGGTATCCAGATGCTGTCATCTATACACATTTAACCAGAAAAGGAATGCAATGGAAAAAGAGGTTTTTTTTCCATTGCATTTAGAAATCTTCTTCATAGATGGCTTATTTAGATGGGCCAAATAAGCCATACATGAAAGAGCATTGAAAAGGCTATATAAAGAATTACAGAATGCTTGTTTTGGAACAGATTTTTGAAGGTGGTGTAATCCAAACCTTTGCATAGTCCAGAACCAATGAATCTTTCCTGCTGGCTATCCAGCCAATCAAGAAGACAATACTATTTACAGAGGTAATCTGTTCCACAAACACCTTTTCCTATTAAGAAACTTCTTCCAACATTTAGTCAAATTTTGTTTCTTTGCAGTTCTTACCCATACTCTTTATTTTCACATTTGTTCTCTTACTGTGAAATAAAATCCAATATTTTGATATCTTGGAATTAAAACAAATAATTGTAAACGAAATGTATCTCTCAGCAAGAGATCCAAGTTATTTGGCAACAAAATGTATTTCACGGTTGTTCATGCCAGAGGATGTAGACCAGATTGAGTTTCTAGGCCACAAATATTAACAACTGTCAAGTTTGTTTTATCCTGTGAAAAAGATATCCTTCATGCAGAACTGGAAGGAGCTGTTTTGTTTGGATATTTTCATTAAGATGACACCAAAACAAATGGCCCAGCAAATGTACTTTTGGTCACCTTTTGTTTTTAGGGTTTTTTGTTGTTGTTGTTGTTCTGAATCTGAAAAGCTCTTTATGGAGCTTAAATCAAGCAAGCATTGTGTCTCCTTTAGCATTTCGTCTGTCAGTAAGCCCTGACAATACAATGAAAAATATTGGGTTTAATGTAGTCTCAGTGAATTGAAAAGTATGATATAAAACAAAGTAAGCATCTTTCAGGTTTTGCTCTGCAAAGCTTTCTCATGAAAAATAAATAAATCCATTTGTACCTTAGATATAGTGGGAGAGGTTATTTCCTCCAACCAATCTTGAAGTAATTTCTAATTTTTTTTTCCTGTTAGGAGATTCAGAGAGTAGTTGATAGCAAGAAGCAGATCATGGACAACCTACAAACCAAGTTCACTGAAATATATAGAACAGTCCCAGTTGGTATTGAAGAGCATTTGGAAGACTGCAAGGAAATGTTACATGACCTGGAAGAAAAGGTAGCACCATCCTACTTGATTGTAAAAGTTAGGGAAACTTGCTGAAAGTCCAGATTTATTCTAGTTAGTTGTTGTTTAATTCTCTAGCTTCCCATGCTAATAAATTCCATCTAATTTTTATTGTTCACTATCCCTTTCACTAACCTTCTAGGCAGTATTTTAAGAAATCCTCAGATAATTCTGTAAACCATAAGATACTGTGGTTGGTTTATTCTAGCACATTTGTAAATCCTGACTTTAGAAGGATAGACTACCTTCCTAAATCAGGACTAAGCAACATTTTGACTAGATAAGAATCTTAATGTGGATAGGAATGAAGTCAAACCAACCCTCTCTCAGTGAAAATAAGGTTCTTTTATACCCATAGTGACTCAAAGCCTTTTTTCCCAATCTTTCACATAAAGTATACCCTCTTTTGCCTGGTATTGCTAACTTTGATATAAGTGAATGTGTAAAAAACTACCAACTCTGGCCTGAGAACCATTGGCTCTTATACTTTTTGTACTACCAAATAATTTTATTACACCTTAGGACAATGTACAGATCTAAGCTAGATGTTAAAAATTAAACTATAAAAATGGTAGTTAAAGTAGAGTGGAGGGGTTATTCATAATCTGAAAAAACTGATAGTTAAGTTTTTAAGTTTATTTTCTGTTTTTTCCACTTCAGGGCTGAACTTTCCTTTATTTTCTCTCTCTCTCTCTTTACTATGGTAGGTCAGCACAGAATTTCTGAAAAATTCTCCTCACTACAATACAGAGAAAAAAATAGAAGACATTAACAAAGGTTTGCAAGCCATTGAAAATATGTTACATCAAAAGAGTGAGAACATTGCAAAAGCAAAAGAAGTTCAGAAGGTAACATCCCACTTCTTTGCTCCAGATGAAGTAATGAGCTTTCCTTCCCCAACTGATGTTGATTCTGCCCTCAGAGCGACTTGTTCAAACTAGACTTGCCTTAACCAGTGTAAATGTGGAAGTAGAATGATGTTTTTAAAATAGAAAAATATATATGCCTATAGCCATAGCTGAACCATTGCTCATTTGTTGTTTTGTTCTCTTACATGCAGAGAATCTGGGATTTGATAGATCTTTGGCATTATAAAATGAATGAACTGGATTCAGAGGTTCAAGATATAGTGGAGCAAAATCCCCACCAGGCTCAAGAATTGCTAGATCGATTGATGATACCCCTGCAACGATACCAACACGTTTCACAGCATGCTGAGCGTAGAACTACAAACTTGAACAGGGTAAAAAGATGACTGAAAAGATAATTTGTGTTTGAAATCTGGATGCTTCTTGATTCCTGCCAGTCAGACTGCATTGATCTCAGCTTTATCAATTGCATTGCAGACACATATTTTAAGGATGCATCTATCAGTGTGGCTGACAGGGTGAATTTCTACATAGGTATAATTCCAAAGGGCTGATAGAGCTCCCCAAAGTGGAGTGGTTCCCTAAATTCTGAATATATGGCATTATCTACAAAACTACGGTAGATCCTCAACTGAGATCTCACAGTATTTCTTTTTTCTTCCTTTAAGGAAAGTAATCCTCATGCACCTGAAAATAATAACAAAAATAGACATCATATATGTAAAAGGAAATGCAGAAATTCTGTTTCCTGAAAAAGCCGTTATTCTCTTTGTCAGGATTCTGACACTTAACCCCATTTAAATGAAAATTTTAACTGCTGTGCTATATCCTGAGAATATTTAATTAAGACTTACAATGAGTATAATCCTGTGATATTTATCTACTGACAAAAAAGTCAGTAGATAACATTTTTACACTCCCTATTCCTTCACAAATTGCTGCAGAGGGGATGATGAGGTGGTTTTATTGCATGAGTGGAAATCTGCTTGGGAATCTGGATGACCTGCCAGTGTTTCAGATACCTATGTATTATTTTGTGTAAAATGATATGTGATATCTTATATTAAAGGCTGCTAGCAAGTTGGAAGAATGTGATGAGCTCCTGAAAAGCATTAAGGTTTGGCTTGAAAACACCAGCCGCCTCTTAACAGAGGAAGTGAAAAGTGATTCTGCAAAAGCTTTGAATAAACATGCCAGTGCGCTTGAGGTAAATTGATATGCAACTAAATGACGGGAGCAATGTATTGCTTCTCCTTGAGAGCACATGCCAACATCTTGTTTATTGATAATGACCAGTACAGGTACATATGCTAGGCTAAGTAGTAGCATCTAGCTAGCCTGAACTTAGGAAGCTAAACAGAATCAATTAAGTAAGCGTTTTGGTGAGAGACCACTAAGGAATAGCAAGGCAGTAGGCTAAATAGGAAAGTTTAAAAAAATCTTTGAAAAAGATATAATGAGGGAAAGCCAATATGTGGGGAAATGTTTTACATATGTTGCCATCTTTAATATAAGGTGAGGGTGTGCCTGTGCATATAGAAATATAGATGGCACTGCAGGTGACAGCATGCATATAAGGTCAGAAGTAAAACCTCATTGAATCCGTAGGGGTTTGGTCCCTCATAAATGGATAATTATTGATAAATGATTATCTTATTGAAGGTCTTATAGCTGGGAATGCAGTATTATGCTAATTGCTCATTTACAT